ATATTAAATTAACTTCAATGCCTGCAGTAAATGCTATTATTTTGTGATGGTTTGATTTTGTATATCAGTATTTTATTTTGATTTTTACATCCTTGCCAATAAATGATATTAGTATGTAACTGTTTGTGGGGATGTCTTTCTAAAGTTTTGATTTCAAGGTAATTCTTGCTTTTAGCCTTTCTAATACATGCTGTGGCCGTCAAGGCAGCCAAAGTGAAAGTTCTTTAGGTGACTAGGAAAATGAAGAAGTGGTGTAGGCGAGAGGTACATGCTGCTGCTGCAGACTGAGGCGTCTTTCTCGTAAAGATATTTAAGAGCAGGAATCTGACCACTTGGGTTCATCCAGTACATGCAGTTTTTCAAGCCAAGCTGCTTCAGAAACTACTAGGCAGTTTGGATCTGGCACATGTTAGGCACTTCATAAATATTTTTTGATAAGTGGTTAAATATTTGGACTCCAATAAATAATGGTCATCCCAGAGCCATTTTTCTGAACTATGTTGATTCCTTTGGCCTTTTTAAATTATATACTTTGAATAGTGTAAAAGCTAGCATATTTTTATTTCCTTTTTAGGTAAGCTACTGATACCCATTTTTAAGTCTGGCTTTCGAAAAGGACACAAAGTTTCCCAGGCCCTGATTTCTTGTTTTCGCTAAACAAAAGCCAGCCCATAGTTCTTCTAATTTTAAATGTTTATTGCTGATCACCTGAGGAAAATAGAATATGACAAAATAATGAACTTAGGAAGGTTACAATGCTCAAGGAATCTTAGTTATAATCCCTAGCCTGTATGTTTCTGTTTATCCTTTAGCTAGAAGCTTTGGACTTCAGGTTTTCTTCACTTTTAATAATATATTTGAAACTAAGTTTGAGAAAGGTGGATTTTACTCAAATTTCTCCTCCTCCTTAGAATCCCTACCTATAAGCAAAAGACATACCTTTTTTTTTTTCTCCCACCTGGGGTGGATGTGAAGGATATGGTCATTTAGATCTTTGTCATTCTTCCCTGAACCATTAGAAAAAGCCCCTTCTCTTTTCTTGCTTGTACATTCTAGCTCTACCATCTTCTCCCTCAATTTAATCTTTTGAAAACAAATGTGCTTTAAAAGCTTCCATTGGTTCCTCATAAAGGACTCAGATTTTTCCCTCAGTCTATATACCAGCAATAATGCTAAATAAATTAGAAATTTAAATGTAAAACAAGAAATCATATAAGTACTAGCAGAAAATATAGGGAAGTATATAATCTTGATGTGAAGAAGACTTTTAAAACATAAGAAGCATAGATGATGAAGAAAAATACACTGAGAGAAATATTTACAACATATGACAAAGGTTAATAGCCTTAGTATATAAAGAGTATTATATAATAATACACAAAAATAACATTCAGTTCTAGAAAGAGTCCTTTTTATATTACAGAAAGGAGTTATTGTTCAATATTTTAATTTTCTTATACATTCTTACAATCTTTTATTATTACTCCTTTAGCAAAAACAGATTAGTTACTCACCAGGAGTATATAGCATAGAACATCAGCAAGAGATAACCAAACTAAAGACTGACCTGGAAAAGAAAAGCATCTTTTATGAAGAAGAATTATCTAAAAGAGAAGGAATACATGCAAATGAAATGAAAAATCTGAAGAAAGAACTGCATGATTCAGAAGGCCAGCAACTTGCTCTCAACAAAGAAATTATGATTTTGAAAGACAAATTGGAAAAGACCAGGAGAGAGAGGTAAGAATCAAGCTATTTATTCACACAGTTAATATTTATTGGGTACCTGTTTTATGTGTCAGGTACTGGAGATACTTAGAAAATAAAACACATCCCAGGCCTCTAGCATCAAGATTAGTAAATAGGAAAGTACAATGCAGTGTGATGGGGAAGCAAATGGGATAAGTATAAGAAGAGAGCACACTAGAAGAAACACAAAATGTAACTTAGATGTGACTGGGCTTCCTGAAGAAAATTATTTTTAAACTGAGGACAAGAAAGACAGCTGAGGAAGAAAGAGTATCCAGGCATAGGTAGCAGAATGTGCTAAAACTTAAAAGGAAGAAAAGAACATGGCACATTGAGAAAATGAAAGCTGTTCACTATGCTTGAAGCATAAACACTAGATGGAATTGGTGAGAAATAAGGCCAGCAAGGAAAGTAGAGGCAAGATCATGGAATGTAAGGGATTAGGACTTTATCCTGAAGACATTGAAGGAAATTGACTGATTATATTTGTAAAGGATCACTCTTACTACTGTGTGGAGATTGGATTGGAAGGAATAGACTGGATATAGGAATCCAGCTGTGAGAGATGATGTATACAGACCTGAAGTAGTGGTAGTGAAGGTAGAGAGATGGATAGATTCAGGAGGTCTACTGAAAAGACAGGAGCCCTGGTGGCACAATGGTTTAAGCAGCTGACTGTTAACTGAAAGGTCAGTGGTTCAAACCTACCAGCTGCTCTGTGGGTGAAAAATGTGGCAGTCTGTTTCCATAAAGATTTATAACCTTGAAAACAGTATGGGATTTTGGTTTACTGACAAGACAGATCATAAAGACATAATGATCAGATGTGAAAATTGAGGGTATAGGAGAAATCATTAGTAATACTCTGGTTTCTAGAATTCAGGCAACTGAATGTATGTTATTGTCATTCTTAGCTTGTATTAGAAGCCCGAATTTATTTAGTTTGGTTCATACATTCCTTCAAGAAGAAAATTTTCAGAGCCTATATGCCAGTGGCATAGTCCATAAGGCATTTGGCTGCTAACCAGAAGGCTGGTAGTTCAAACCCACCAGCTACTCCTCAGAAGAAGATTGGGCAATCTACTCCCATAGTGATACTGTCCCAGAAACCCAGGGAGGGGTCGCTATGAATTGGATTCGACTCGACAGCAGTGCGTTGTGTATATGCCAGTGACTGTTACAGGCACTGGGAATATTGCAGTGAACAAATAGGCAAAAATTCTGTCTTTATAGGGCTTTCTTGTAGTTATAGTGAAAGGTAATAAACAAAAAAAGATATAATATGTTAGAAAATGATGACAGCCAAGAATGAAAAAAAAAAAAAAGGAAGGAATGGGGACTAAGGAATCATGGGGGTGAGTGTTAAATTATATATCGGAGGGCCAGGGTAGATTATACCAAGAAGATGACTTCTCAGTAATGGCTAAAGAAAGTAAGGGGGGGCGGTATCTAGACAGATGTATGAGAAGAGCACTTCAATGGAGAAGAATAAGTCTGTTCAAAAAATAATAAGGAGGCCAGTGTGGCTGAAGCAGAGTTAAACCAAAAAAAAAACTGAACTCACTGTCGTCGGGTCAAACCTGACTCATAGCAACCCCTCCTTGGGTTTCCAAGGCAGTAGCACAATGGAAGTACATTGCCCAACCTTCCTTTTGACCAGTGGCTGTTGGGTTTGAACCGCCAGCCTTCTGGTTAGCATTCAAATAAATGCTTTCGGACTACGCCACCAGAGCTGAGTTAAGGGGGGAAAATAGTAAGAGATTGTATCAGAAAGGTAGCAGAGGCCATATCAGATAGAGTCTTAAAGCTGGAGTCAGTTAACTCACAGGGATTTATTCTGAGTAAAACCACTGAAAGGAAATATGGCAGGATTTTGAACAGGAAAGTGACAAATAGTGGCTTGTGTTTTAAAAGGTTTACTTTGACTACTAGGTTGAGAATAGTCTTATTTAAGGCAAGAGCAAAAGCAGTAAAACCACTTAAAAGGCTATTAGAATAATTCATGCAAAAGAAACTGGTAGTTTGGTTCTAGGATGATGGCAGAAGGGTTAGTAAAAAATACTGGAAATTTCATATTCTTTGAAAGTAAAGGTAATGTGATTAGTTGATGGATTAGATATGGGGTATGAGAGATAGAAAAGAATCAAAGATGATAATAAGGATTTTGGCCTGAGCAATTGGGCGAATATAGTTACCATTTAGAGGGAAGACTGTAAACAGGTTACTTTTGAGAGACCTATTAGACATCCAGTTGTTTAGATAAGACTGGATTTTTAAGAGCTAGAGATAAAACCCTGAGAGTATTTATATCTCACATGGTATATAAAGCTGTGAGACTATATAAGATCACTTAGTTAATGCATATAGGTAGCAAAGAGGTCCAGTATTTTAAAGTTGGGACATAGACTAGCAAAGTTGGGAAGAACTAGCAAAGTGGATATAGAAAGAGCTACAAGAATGGTTAGGATGGAAACCAGGCCAGCTTGGTGTTCTGAAAGCCAAGTGAAGAACGTATGGCACATATGACAATATGTTAAATAAGATGGAGGACTGAATTGCTAAGTTGAGGACTAAATACTGACCATTAAGTTAGCAATATGGATGTCATTGGTGATCTTGAGAAGAGCAATTTCAGTAGAAGAACATGGTAAGACACCTCAGAAAGGGATCAAGGGAGACTTGTAGGAGAGCATTTGCAGACAAGAGCATAGGCATGAGGCACCAGAGGGGCAGCACTCACAAGGAGGGAAAGATGGACAGACAGGAGTGCATAACTATGAGGGGCACAGGGATGGGGGTCACAGGGAAAGGAGAGAAGGAGAGTGGGGTACGGTTGGGGATGGTAATTGGGGAGAGAAAGCAAATGTACATGAACTGTTGAATGTAAAACAGATTCTGCTCTGTAAATTTGCACCCAAAGCACAATTGGAAAAAAAAAAAAAAAAGCATAAGCAAAAGCTGTTATTTGGAGTGGTTTACTATAGAGGCAAGCAGTGAAATAGGGTGGTAGCTGAAGGAGAAATTGATCTTAAAAGGGTTTTGGGTTTTTTTTTGTTTTTTTTTTTTTTTTTTGATTGTTTATAAATGGAAGAAATAGCAGTGTACTTATAATCTGATGGAAATCATCCAATAGTTAATTCAGGAGAGCCCACCTACTCCCATTGAGTTGGATCCAACTCATAGTGAACCCTCCTTGGGTTTCTGAGGCAGTATCACTACGGAAGTAATTGCCCCATCTTCCTTCCAAGGAGTGGCTGGTGGGTTTGAACTGCCAGCCTTCTGGTTAACAGTCAAATGCCTTAGGCACTACACTACCAGAGCTCCCAATTCAGGAGAAGGAAGAGAAAATTGCTGGAGCAATGTATTTACATAGGTGCTTTCTCTAATCCTATGTATTTACATACAGTAACAGAAAGGAAATTAGAGTATTTGAGCAGAGTTTACGGATGAAGGTTGATAGGATGGTGGGGATTTATTCACATCTTGAGCTCTCCTGTTGAGTTGGACATGTTGAATCTGAGACAGTCAAAATGTGGAGGTATCAATATCAAGTCAGCAGTTCAAAGCTCAGCAGAGGTCGTCAGCATATAAAAGATGATAATTGAAACCAGACAGTGTAGTAGATGAGTTACCTTAGGGAAGTGAGTAGAAAAAGAAGAGATGAGCATGAGAAGAGGAACATTGGCATTTAAGGATAGAAGAGTTCACAAGGCAGCTGAAAAGAAGATAGAAATACAGGCTGAAAATCAGGAGAGTGAAACTGAGGAAAGAAAACATTTCAAGAAGGAGGGAGTGGACTAAATTGTCAAAGGTAGTCAGTAGATTGGATGTAGTAAGAAGTTGATCAGTTGTGATTTTTGTGAGAGCTGTTGTTGAGTGGTGGTGGAGGCAAATGCCAAATATTGAGGTAGTGAAGAACAATGTAGCGATGAGGAAATGGAGACTGCAAACTCATCCAGATTACAAAATGTTTACCTGTGAATAGGAGGTAAAGAAAGTGGCAAATGAAAGGGAACACAGAGGAGTTTAGGGAGAGTTAGTTTATTTTGTTGTAAGATGGGAGGATTTAAGCTTATTTAATGCTAATAAGCAAGAATGGTTTTACAGAAAAATTTTACTCAATTTATAGCATCCAAGTGAGTTCACATACCTGTTTTTTTCTGAAAGGTAACTTAAATTTTTTGTTTTTGTTTTTTGTTGTTACTTGTTTGTTTTTAAAGTTGTTCCTGTGTCAGTGAAGATTCTTAAACATAATAAATTTCACACGTTGACTATACATAGTAAGCAAAATTACACCTTTCCTTAGACAAAGAATGGTTTATTTTTCTTGGACATACTTAGTTTCTTCAGTAATGTAGTAGTGTAAAGGATTTTTAAGACTACACTTTTAAGATCAGCCATTAATTATGTTCTCTATTGACTTGAAAGCAATCGTGTAAAATTACCCTAGACTGATCTGCCTTGAATTTCATTTGCTTCTGATAACCTCCATCAAGCTGCTATAGATATAAGCTTCTTTGTCTCCGTGAGAACACAGTCTGCAAAACCTACCTCCCCTTTCTTCCTTAAGAGATTTTTTATGTCTGTTAGAACTGTGTTTATCTTTAAGGGTATATCAGTCTTGCCCTCCAGAATCATGATTTTAAATAAGTTTTATAATATTAAATTTGTTTGGTAAGTATTGTATATGTTTAGAAAGAAAGAAAAGTGGTAGAGAAAGGAAAGGAGGAAGGAAATTAAGAATGGAAGGCTGAAAATAGTGAGAGAACCATTGGAAATTTAATTGAGAATTTTCTATAAAATAAGGAGCTTAGTATAAGAATCCTTTTGTTGTCCATATATCCTCTTCTTTCCCTAACCTTTTCCTTTTCCCAAATTTTATAGTATTATATAGAAATAAGGTGAACATAATCATGAATTCTGTAAATCACAGATGTCTTCTTCCTATATTCAAATGAAAGCAAAGTAGATGTTATTTAGAAGACAAATCTATTTATCAGTTAAAAACAAATGATTGTGTACAAAATGACTGTGATTTTTAATTTGAAGAGGAAGGATTGGGATTTGACTTCCCAGAATGAAAACAGATGGTACAGCACCCATTTGGATACCACTATTTTTAATAAAATCAGGAACTCAATTCCATTGTACTATCTTCCACCATCACTTATAGGACAGCTATCACAGTGCTTTCGAGCATGCTAGTATTCCTCTCACTAATGCAATTTATTAATGCCTAGGTGAAAAGAGTGTTCTCTGGGTGTTCCCAAAAGTATGATTAGGGGATGGCTGAGCAGTTGCACATAATAGTTCCACTCCAACATTCTCATCTCCCTGAGTCTGTGAACTCTTTACTTTACGCCTGGTAAGTTCTAGCATTTCAAGTCCATTGATTGTAGGACACTATTGGGTCCAAGCTTCAATTAACCAACCTAGTGCTGAAAATTGCATCTGGGTGTTGAGACACAACACATAAAATCACAAATCTGCAGTGATTGCCCCTGTTTGATAATTTATATCTATCTCATCTTTTAGTTAATCCCCTTTGGCCTAAAACCCTTAGAACTCAATCCTATATGCAGCCAGTACTCCCTCCAGTACAAATCAGAGAGATCCTACAACTTGTTAATTGTAAAGTCATCTCCTTCACTTCTGTATCTGGCCTGTGCTGGACTTATCTTTTATGTACCTGGAGATAATGACTGGTGACTGGGGAGATATTAAGGATAATTGGCATTCTTCCTTTGAAGCAAATTACTCCAGGTGAAGTTAATGAAAGTTTTATGAAAAGGAAGGCCTCTCAAGTGTAAGGACCATGAGGGGCAATATGAAACTGCAAGGAAGTTTCAGTGGAATATGAGGGTTCAAATTTACAGCTTCATCTGTTTCTGCCCAGAGGTTCCCAACTTAAAGCTCAGGACTCTACTCATTCCCAGCTTCATCTGTCTCTTAGCCTAAGAGATTTGGTCAGTGTTGTACAGGTCACTATCATGTGCCTTTTGATGTGATGCACTGAGAAGGGTATAGGCATCACTTGTGTGGTGTTCCAGCCAAGACGTGATTATGTGGTTCTAATGATAAATAATGGAGGAACTCAGATTGAGGATCACCCTACATAGTGAAAGATTTGTATTCTAAAACTGCAAAGGATATAAGAGGTAGTTAAGTCTGAGGAGCTATTCCAGACCAAAGGAAATTAAAGAGACTTGTGTACTAAATGCAGCTCATGTTTCTAGACTGAGTCCTGGACTAGAAAAGAAGACGTTGGCAAAACTTGAATTGAGCCTGTGGATTTGAATGGTAGTGTTTCATCAATGTTAATTTTTGTAATTTGCAGGGCTGCATATTGGTTATGTCAGAGAATGTCCTTGACTCTGAGAAGTACAGATTGGAATATTTCAGAGTAATTGGGCGTAATATCTTCGGCTCCCTCTCAATGGTTCAGAAAAAAACTAATGATAGTAGGCACAGGGAGAGAGAAAAAGAGAACAAGAGAGAGGGTGGAGCAAATTAAAATGTTAACAATTAGGAAATCTGGATGAAGAAGATACAGGAATTCTTTATACTATTCTTGGAACTTTTCTGTAAAATTGAAATTATTTCAAAATAAATTATTTTTTAAAGAATATTTAAATTCATACATAAAGTAATTTATAATTATGAACAAAAAGTTTGGAATAATAACCTTTATTAATCAAATTTTTAGAAAGTGACTCTGGCCCAATCTTAAGGGAACAAAACTTCGTATATTCTAAGAATATTGTATTGTAGATACACAAAGAAAAGTACCTAACTTGGTCTCAGGCTAATTTGTCTTTAGACAAAATATTATGAATGTGAAACAGATGGAAAATACTGTTTTCATTTTAGTAGCTTATTTCACTAAACTTAAGGAAGCCTTCTCTGAGTATACAATCTAAAGTAGCCACCTTCTCCCAGATCATATCTATAACAATACCATATTTCACTTTCTTTATAGAATTTATTATTGGAAATTAGTTCATTGACTTAATTTTCTTTGCCTGTCTCCATCCACTAGAATTTATGTTCCATAAGAGCAGGACCTATCCTTAGGGCCTAAACCAATTCTTTGGCATACAGTAGGCTTCAGTAAATATTTGTTAAGTGAATGAATGAATAAAGCAGCAGTAACATACACAAGCATCTTAGAAAGCATTTTCATCAGACCTGTCACTGCATAATACTAGCAGCCACCAGTCATGCTGTATTCTATATGACTAATGTTCGGTCTGATAGTTATCTATTATTATTGTTGTTGGGTGCTGTCAAGTCAATTCCAACTTGTAGTGACCCCATGTTACAGAGAAGAACTGCCTATAGTGTTTTCTTGGCTGTAATCTTCATGAAAGCAGATTATCAGATCTTTCTTCTGTAGAGCTTCTGGGAGGATTCAAACCACCAATCTTTTAGCTAGCAATCAAGTGTTTAACCATTGTGCCATCAGGGCTCCTATCTATTTACATGATAGCTATTGCAAAAATAATTTATTTCAAGTTTTCAGTTGACTTTAATTCAGTTGTTTTCCTTTTATGTTTTCCATTGTGTTAGTCAAAGCGAAAGAGAAGAATTTGAAAATGAGTTCAAGCAACAGTATGAACGAGAAAAAATGTTACTAGCTGAAGAAAATAAAAAACTGACAAGTGAACTTGATAAGGTGAGTAGTTCAATCTTATTTGTATTAATGGAGCATATGCTTTGAGAGGAATTGGGGGTATAACTTTATATTTGGTATGCATTTTTGGTTAATAATTCTCCTTACTAACTAAGGTTACATGTACAGGGCAGGAAATTTTTTTGTCACACCAGCCTATGACAGGAGTCTTTTGGAGGCCGAGTTTTGCTTAACTCATCTTATTCTTTGTCCCATTTATTTTGTGGAACCTCTATTCTTTATTTTACTTTTCATCTATTCTCTGTTTAACTCTTCTCTTATGTTCCTCACATGCTCTCTAATGGCTTGCTAAATTCAGCAAAACTTTGAAACCAGAATGGTTGGCCCTTGGCAAGAGCAGACAAAACGTGGAATTATGACAATTGTGATACCTTATTCACCATGTTGTTGTTGTTGTTATGTGCCGTCGAGTCAAACCCGACTCATAGCGACCCCTCCTTGGGTTTCCGAGGCAGTATCACTACGGAAGTAGGATTGCCCAGCCTTCCTTCCGAGGAGTGGCTGGTGGGTTTGAACCGCCAGCCGTCTGGTTAGCAGGCAAGTGTCTTAGCCACTATGCTACCAGAGCTCCCTTATTCACCATAGAGATCTGCTAATAGCTGCAAGTGATACCGTTGCTGTTTGACAATGGTAGTTGAGAATATAAAGGAAAAAACTCTGTAGTTTGAATAATAGGGAGCCATACATTGAATTTAGAAATAGTCAGTTTTATGAACTAATTTTCAAAAACTTAATGGAAATTTTTTCCACTTTAGTATCAGACTTCTCAAATTGCCATTGTTACGTATTTCTTGTGCCAATTTTTAACATAGAGTTGCAAAAATCTTAATATTAACAGAAGTTTTAGTGATTATATTTATATTTAAATAAGAAGGGTTGGAGAATTGTGTTTTTAGGATTTTCCTCCAATAAAAAGTGTTATATTTTTAATACATTAATTTTAACTAAATTAATTAGTTAGTAATTAATAGCTTGAAGAACTATGACTAAATAGTTAAAAATACAAACCAAAAACCAAACCCACTGTCATCGAGTCAATTCCAACTCACAGCGACCCTCATTGGGTTTCCGAGGCAATAAATCTTTACAGAAGTAGATTGCCCAGTCTTGCTTCCACAGGGTGGCTGGTAGGTTTGTACCACCAACCTTCTGGTTAGCTGTCAGATGCCTTAGGCACTGTGCTATCAGACCTGGCATTATTGTGCCTAAGGCATTTGACTGCTACCCAGAAGGCTGGTAGTTCAAACCCACCAGCCACTCCATAGAAGGAAGACTGGGCAATCTACTTCTGTAAAGATTTACCACATCAGAAACCCAAGGATGTCACTATGAGTTGGAATCGACTTGGTGGCAGTGGATTTGGTCTAATTATAAAATAGAAGCTCCTTATTCTATGGCAAACTCAATTCCTTTGTGGTCCATATATCTCTGTTTCCCTTTACTCCTTTCCCTGTGATTATTTTCTAACAATTTATGAAATTCTCTTTTTTGATAGAAAAGTACTTTAGAAAAAACACTTTTAGCTCATTCTATAAAGTTTTATGAACCTATATACACAAGAATTGTGGAAAATGGCTGAATATTAAGTATTATAAATGGATTTTTTTAAAACCATGAATAGTGTGTGAAATAACTCTTAATTATTTCCACTAAAATAAACCTCACAATATTTGAACTTTATCCAGCTAGATCACATAATTATTTTGTTTGTTTGACTCAACTGAAAAAACCAAACTCACTGCCATCAAGTCAGATCCAACACATAGTGACCCCTCCCTTGATTTCCCAAGGCAGTATCACTACTGAAGTAGATTGCTCAGTCTTCCTTCTGAGGAGTGGATGGTGGGTTTGAACTGGCAGCCTTCTGGTCAGCAGTCAAATGCCTTAGGCACTATGCCACCAAAGCTCCTTATGTTTGACTAGTGGCTATACAATTAAATAACATTTCTATCTATAAGATAGAATTTTAAGATTCTGTTAAAGATAAAACAGTTTTACTTTGAGATAAACATAATAATTAAATTTTAGAAGGCCTATTTATGTGGAGTCACTATGCAAATTACCTAGTAAAAGAATTATTTACAGTTTAATAAAAATTGTGTTGGAAAATAATCAGATTGAACATAGATGGCATCTTGTATTCTACCTTCAGTTTAATATCATTATTACCCCTTAGATTTTACTAAGTTTGCAAAAAATATATATTCAGAGAGAATTTTTTTTAAATACTCTTTTGATTGAAATTGTATTAAGATCTAGCACATCTATAAAGAAGAAACTTACTTAGGTCTACTATACATAGTGACAACTCCTTGTAGTCTAATGACGCCTGTCAGAGAAAGGCCTGACTCCTAAGTTTATAAAATAGAACATTATATTTTCTTATTAAATTAAATGATACAGTAGAGTATGAATAGAACTTTAAGAACAAATTCATATGGCAGACAGACATTTAGTGACAAATGATTACAACCAAATATGTATTCGTGGGGAAATAGGGAAGGATCTGGATCTCTGGTTCCTGTTGAACCTCTTCTCTATATATGCTGCTTCTATACAACTTTCACATCTCTATTTTTGCTATACTTTGTTATTCAGGTTTTCCTTCTCTCTATGATTAACTATGAGTCCACCTCATTGCATATTTTCACTCTTACTTTCTGGTTTTGTTTGAGTTGGATTTTTTCCCCAAGAGGCATAAAGAATGAATCTGTTTGCCATTTCTACACAGCTTTCCATTGGGAAATAACTTGAGGAAAACTGGATTCCTTCTCAACAAAACTGCACATATAGAAGCCCAAATTCACTTATTAATTTTTTAAATCATATGTATGTAACTCTTAGATAGCTCACCTTCATGTTTTTTTTACTGTAAAGATTAAAAATTATAATAGAAAACAATTAGATATTTTCACAGCTCTTTATGGAGCTGTTTGGTACAGTGGGTAATGCATTTGGCTCCTAAACAGAAAGTCAGTAGTTCAAACCCACCAGCTGCTTCATGGAAGGAAGATGAGGCAGTCTGCTTCTTCATCTTTTTACCACCTTGGAAACCCAATACGGATCACTAAGAGTCAGAGATTGACTCAATGGCAGTAGGTTTGGTTTGGCTTTTCATTAAGATATAACTTACTGCAAATAAAATTAGCCATATATGCTAGGGAGTGAAAGTAAATGTTCCATATAAGAAAACGTGATTTGTGTCATGTTTATTAAATTATTATTTTACAGAAAAGTCACATTTCAAAAAATGTGAAAAATATTAAACATAAAAGTTGCCATAATCTCAACATCTCAATACAACTATTTTTATTTTAAATTTTCCATCCCAGGTTTTGCCTGTATACACATAATTATATAATTGCAGTCTTCTTGACATTCCATTTAGTAATCTGACTTATTATTTAAAATGTTATGAACATTTTTATATACTTGTGTAGTCTTATAATTATTATCAGACATGTCAAAGTGCAAATAGTAAAATCTTCTCATTACAAACATTCAAAATTAACATTTATATAGAATTTACTTTATTAAAGTTTTCTTCTAAGTTACCTTATACTACTCATTTAATCCTCATAATTACTCTGTGAGGTGTATCTTCTTATTCTTCCTATTTTATAGTTGAGAAAACTGAGGCAAAGAAAGGTCAAGCAACTTTCCTAAATCACAAAAGTAGGAAGTGATAGAATGGAATTTAAACACAGGAAGTCTTGCTCTAGAATCTATGCTTTTATTCAATAATGTTGTTATTGTTGTTGTGTGCCATCAGGTTAGACCTGACTCATCACGACCCCTCCTTGGGTTTCTGAGGCAGTATCACTATGGAAATAATAGTGCCAAAAGAAAAAGCCCCACAGCCATCAAGTCGATTCCAATTCATAGTGACCCCTATTGGGTCTCCAAGACAGTAAATCTTTACAGAAGTAGATTGCCCCATCTTTCTTCCACAGAGAGACTGGCGGGTTTAAACCGCCAACCTTCTGGTTAGCAGTCAAATCCCTCAGGGACTGCATCACCAGGGCTTCTTACTAATGCAAAAGTTAACTTTATTGTTTTTTTACTGAAACTAACCAAATTAAGCAATCTATTTTAAATTATTTGTACCTATAGTAATATGGTAGGAGCTCTGGTAGCATAGTGGCTAAAGCACTTGACTGCTAACCAGAAGGCTAGTGGTTCAAACCCACCAGCCACTCCTCAGAAGGAAGGTTGGGCAATCCTACTTCCGTAGTGATACTGCCTCGGGGTCGCTATGAGTCGGGGCCGACTCGACAGCAAATAACAACAACAACAACATAGTAATATGGTAGTGCAAAATCTCCATTTTCCTCCTCTTGCAAATTTCCAGTTGAAAACCAACCACAAATTAGTGGGAAGGGCTGCCAGAAGCAGTGGTAATCAAAAATGATGTATTATAGGAACTAATGGAGAGAACATACTGCATGTGTAACTCTCAAGAATAGCTGGTAGAGTTTGACTTCTTGATAAGGTAGCATGAAAAGGTTAGTGAACCTTCTTTTAAGAAAAGAAGTTTAAAAATGGATACAGTTATCAAAAGTCATTTTTATAGCTCTAGAAATTAACTAGAGGAACACAACTACAAAATATTATTGATATAAAGGAGGATCTAAACAAATTGATATATATATACTATATTTATGAATTGAAAGACTCATTGTTGTTAGAATAGCAATTCTCCCCAAATTGAGCTATGAATT